AAATTAAGGACAAAACAAGCTGCAGGCAGCAGCAAATCACATTTAACATTCACTGCAAATGCTCATGAAGTATGCAAAACTTGCTGGAAATTATGGTGATTTGCATGTGAATGCACAAGGAAGGAAGCACAGAGGAGGAGAGAAGCAAGGTTGACTCACCACAACGAGAACCAAGTGCAGATGCAAACCCTCACAGAACATCCAGAAGTAGTTGACCAGCATGAAGTAATGCACCACAAGATGGAGACCGATGCACCAGAGCTGAAAGGAAAGTGATTTGACTGGATGGTCGGAGTGGTCGGAGTGGTCGGAGTCTCTGTGGCTGGAACTTACCGGACTCTCGGCTATGAGCTCGGGCCGTTCCACAACCAGGCGATACCAGAGGATCCAGGACACACAAGTGCAGGCCAGCGAGGCAAAGAGATGGACATGAATGCGAATGCGAGTGCAGCGCAGGGATCTGCAAGGGACAGTCAGTCACTCAATTGTCCGCGGCAAAGGCAGCGGCCAGACTTGACTTACTTGAAGCCCAGAAATATGATAATGGAGATGAGCAGAGCCAGCAGGGAGAGTGCGTAACCATTCACATACAACTCATTGATGAACTGACGAAACTGCAATTGGCAATTGGCAATTGGCAATTGGCCAGCGTTAATGCTGCTCCTGCTAGCTGGGCGGACAACTCACCTCCAAGTCCTCGTAGTCCACACAGTTGGTGTAATTGGACCAGGTGAGGTTGCTAACCGGATGCCGAAACCAAGTGCCGTTCTCCAGGCAGCTGTGAATCGATCGAAAGTATATTTAACACTCGAATAACCGATCGATGGCTCAGCAAAGTGGAAGTGGGCATATTTTGTTGGGCATTTAACTCACGTCTTGTGGGCCAGAAACTTGCTATTGAAACCCTCCACGAAATCGGGACAATATTGACTCAGAACGGTGCCTGCTGGGGTTCGGGGCCAGCACAGATATCCATCGAAGTTCAGTGGACAAAAGAGGCTGCTGCCGCTGGCCCTGCTGAGATTTGCCAGCTTCTGTTCCTGCTGTCCCTGCTGCTGCTCCTCCTCCAGATGCGCGGACATTGTGGCAGTCAGGATGGTGGCATAGAGTTCATTATTAGCTGCCGATGCCTCGTTCACACTCTGCATATCAATGCTGCCCTCATTGAGGACGGCATTCTCCAGATATCGCGGCACAGGACTAAAGTTCTGCGGCACCTCCACCTCATAGTCTGCGGCATGAAAGGATGATTGTTGATTTGAGTTGAGTCGAGTCGAGTCGAGGCGACTTGGGAATATGCTGCCATGGGGAATCACGTACATCACTCGTACTGGGTGTACGAGTGTGTGTGTGTGTGTGTGTGTGTGTGTGTGTCTAACCTGTTGCCAGTCCCGCTGGGTCCTCGTCCCCATCCTCGAATGTGTCGTTCTGGTAGCGATAGACGCACTCGGCATACAAATGCTTTAAAAATACTCGCAGATTATCCTGGGACTGGGGCTGCGGCTGCTGCTGGGGCTCTGGAAGGTGCTGCCCTGCTGTCGCTGCGGGGGAAGCTGCTGCTGCCTCCAGCTGGGAAACTGTCGTCATATCTCAAAGAGGGAGATGGCTCCGAGCTGGCTACTGGCTGCCCGTTCGTGTGTGCCGTGGTAATTTGGTTAAGCTTCAAAGAGTTGAGCCACAGATACTGAAACCGAAACAGATGTACATATAAGCTGAGAGTGTGGAAATTCTGTGTGTGTGTGTCCCGACCACAGATGACCCCCCAGCGAAAGACCATCGAAGTGTTAGAGCAGCAACCTTGAATGGAGCTTTGATTGCATCGTCCTCAGAGCACTCCCATGCCCCTCCATGTGTGCTGTAAATCAGTTTATTGTCTAATTAATGCCAGCGTTTAAAGGAGCTTAATTGCATTTAGTCACAAAGCAAATGCCACAGGGCAAAACACATTTGAAAGTGCACTGCACATCGCTCGGTAAAAGTTGTCGCGGGAATGCCGTGGGGGGGGAGAGAGATGCACACACATACCTACATGGAGATACACTTGTGTGTGTGTGTGTGTGTGTGGGATGAGCTACGCTGCAAAGTTCTGGCCTAACTCGGTTATATTTTTAATCAAAACTCATTTCGCTTGATTGAGTTTTAACAGAAGACTCAGCAACAGCAACAGCAACGGGAAAAGCAAAAGCAAACCCATCCACGATTCAGCTTCAGCTTCAGTTGGTGCTCCTGGTCCCGAATGTGGCAAACAAAAGAAAAACTTGAATTTGAGGACTTCATTCATTACAGCTTGTTGGACAGTTTTCAGGCGCAAGCCCAAGAGGAACAGGAGGCAAGTTGACATGTTGCAAGTGTCAGTGTTTATGGGCAGCAACAGCAATTAGCGCTGGTCGGCGGGCAATGGCAGCCATTGTGGCTGCAAATACCTGTGTGAGGGTCCTGCCTTAATGAGCATTCATTGCGTTCCGTAGCCGCAAGCCTTTCGCCATGTGTCCTCTGTGTCCTCTGTGCCCCAAGTTAAATAGAAATCATTGCATTTGTCAGGTCCAGGGCAGCGGCTTTGAGCTGACTTCTTCATAATTGGGTCTTATATTGCCATGGCGCACAATTCGGAGCTTATGCAAGGAAATTGCACAGCAAATACTGTAGAAGAATCTTACTTATTTCCATATAAATTTGCTATATTTAAAATAAATCTCTTAAGCATGAAATTGCGCTGAGAACTCAGTTGAATGTTTGCTGGAATCCATATTGGTAAGGTCTGTTCTTGGCTCCTTTGCCAATAATTGAGGAACTTCTCACTCTCTCTCTCTCTCTGGAGACGCACATTAGCAGGTCTCATAGTTGCTTTTGCGAAGCCTTCGATGAAAGACAATAATTGGAAACGTTTGCCGGCATAAATTATGCATGGAAATGGAAATTTATTGTCAACAACAGGGCCAGTACGCCAAGAGTACAGCTGTAAAGGAGCAAAGAACAGGCTCAGCAGCCTCTTCCCCTGCCGCCTGAAACTGATACAAAATGGCCAACAGTCGATGGCAGTGGCAGTGGCAGTGGCAGTGGCAGTGGCATTGGGGGCTGAAGCAATAATTATGTGTACACATGCTGAATATTGATGATGAATTGTGTTTTGTCTATCATCAATGAGGTTAATGATGCCGACTCCACTCCCCCACCGGAGTGTGCAGTCGGAAACGGAAATGCCAGCAGGCAGCCAAACAGACGGCTCCTAGTGGAGCATTGACTAATATTTTATTATGTTTTGTATGGCAGCCCCAAATGCAATTATTTAAGCTCGCTGGCCTCCGATCTGTGCGGATTTGACGCTGATTTGACGCTGCTGTCCGCAAAAGTTGCCAACCTTGCAAATAATTGCACTCATTTCCCGCGCCATCACCGTGTGTGTGTTTGTGCTCCAGGGAGAACTTTTCCGACTGGGAAAATGCCAAACAATTATTTATTTGTTTACAGCAGGAAAGGAATCATTTTGGAATATGTTTTTGGATATGAAAGTCCGTCTCCTGCTGCGAATTATGAGCTGGCGAATTCTACAAATATTTCCTTGGCAATTACCCCACAAAAAGCAAAAATCTAAGTTCATTTTCACTTCATCACAATTAACAGATAGAGAGGATGGATGGACAGAGGTGTGCTGAGAGATCACTTACATGACGGTTTCGTCTATGGCAACGTCGGAGCCATTTGAATAATATTTCCACTCGATCTGCGGCCACCTGCTGGCTTCATTTAATCAAACAAAACTTTAGTGCCCCGTCTATCGCACGTAACGTACAAACAAGAAACCACAAAAAACTTTTGAATAAATAAAACGGAAGAAAAAGCCGCACAAATAAGATAAATGCGATGCCGCTCCGCTCTTACCAGATGCCGACCGTGCGGCAGGGCGTTCTAGTGGCAAGTGGCCAAGCAAGAGGCACGGTACGGCACGGCAAGGCAAGCATCCCGCGAGGAGCGGCGACATGACCCGACACGAGTCGACATAAACCCGACACGGCCCACCCGGCCCCGGCCCCGACCCCTACCAGGCAGGCACTGGCGTATCTGTCGTGCGCCTACACTGCGGATGTGTGCTCTTGGCAGATGAAATCTTCTTGGATGCCATAATATTTGTCCACTGCTTTGCACGATGAGTACTGCTTGCAGGGAGAGCCTCAAGCTGTGGAGGAGATCTGGTTCGAAATCCTCCACGCCGAGCAGCGCTTCATGGTCTATGATTGCAGTAGCTAGATCCGAGCTAAATGTAACCATTATGTATGCACTTTCGTGGTTATGTGTGTTCATGGCAGCACTCTCGATGGAGCGTTGGCTGGCACTGCTTCTTTTCTCTCTGTGTTGCCCGCTCTCCCGCTCTCACACTGCTTGGTGCGCAAGGCCAAGCAGTGGCTGTGGGTTTGATGGGCACGACTCCAAGCAACAAGTTGGCATTCGCCTGCTGGCCAGGCAGCGCACTTCCTTGCTGCGACACCAAATTGCTCGGCAATATGTCTGCTGTGGGCGTCTAGCAGTTGGAAGTACGCCAAACAGGGCGTGGACAGTTGCGGTGAGCTGTGGAGCTGTGGAGCTGTGACAAACAAATTGCCACTCGTGCTGGGAGCGAAGGGCAGCGTTTACTTAAGGCATTTCAACGGAAAGGTACGGTACGAGTATGATGATTTGTCGTGCATCTCACATCTCACATTGATGCGTTCACATTCAGCTGGAGCCACTTATGCGATTTAGATGTTCATTTATGCCGCAGTTTGTTTTGGCGAACGTTGCCGTGTGCCCATTAAATATTTCATCCCTTATGCCATGGGTTTTGGGCATATCACGTATAAATTATGAATAGTTCTTTGTTACATTATCTTATCTAAAATGCATTTCCAATTAGCAGCTGGACGGCCGAGTGTTTATGTAGTTTTTCCGTATGTAAATCCTTTGCCTGGCCCTTTTTGTCATTCGTTTGGCAGCCCTTAGTTGAATGTACAAACAAGTAAATTACATAGTAACATATTGCTGGAACTCCGGACGGAACAACTCGACACAAGGCATAAGTAATATTATTTGAGCAACAAATGAAGACAATAGCAAAAATGCAAAAAAAACTTTCGATGCTGCTTGGCCGTCGTCTGCCGACTGTAAGGCGCTGCCGACCACAGCCACTCGATGAGGAGCAGTCGGTGGCCAGTTCATTGCTGAAAAAACTCGACATGATTGGCAGCCAGCTGGTTCAGGACATATTGAGCGGCGTGCACCAGCAGGCTGGCGGCCTGACCACTGCCACAATTATGGGCCGAGCTCTTATAGATGAAAGCAATGAATACATATCGAGGGGCGCCGATCCCAAGCAAATTCGTGTCGGCCTCATGGCAGCCGTGGACGAGGTCATTCGTCAACTCAATGCCATGGCACGACCCATCCATGTACCATCCATGCAGCTGCTTCGCGTGGCCATCACATCGGCGCAGGGGGATCGGGCCATTGGTGGCCTCATCTACCAGGCCATCAAAAGAGCTGGACTGGAGGGAGACATCTCCATAAAGACCACGAACACGGCCGACGTGGAGTTGCGTTTTTCGTACATGGACGCTGATGCTGCAGAGCCTGCACCATCGCGCATCTGCCATCTCGACAGATGGGTGACCATCCCCGCAGTGGACACTCTGCTGTCGCAGGTCTATGCCGTTGTCTTCTTGGTCGGCGGTTCGAGCGAGGCGGACAAACATCAGAAGAAGAAACTCATCACTGACGCCGTCATGCGAACGCGCGCTGCCGTCGAGGGAGGCCTCGTGCCGGGCGGCGGCACTGCCCTGATCCGGTGCATGAAGCCTCTCGATAGCTTGATGGTCGATAATAAAGATCAGGTAAGCTGGCCACGACTGCTTCTGTTACTCTGCCACAACTCATGTCAACTGTCTGCGGCTTCCCAGCGACTAGGCGTGAGGGCCGTGCGCCGAGCACTACGCATGCCCTGCTGGACCATTGCACAGAATTGTAACATCGATGGCAGCCAGGTTGCACGTGTTATGGAGGAATACCGCATGTGCGAGGACTTGGGCTTCGATGTGGTGTCCGGAAGGTGTTGCAGCATGTCCGTGCAGGGCATAATGGATCCCACCAAGGTGGTGCGCTCGGCTGTCACGAATGCCGCCGGCATGGCCTCGCTGCTGATCACCGACCACGAATTTGTCTCTGAATCTGATAACTAGTTGCGCTTGTGCCTTCCAACAGACTTATTATATTTTTACCACAAGCAAAACAGTTTTATGTTTTATATGTTCAAATCTTGGCGCCAAAGTAAAGCAGTGAAAGCAGTAAGGACAGCGCGAAGCAAAGTACATTTGAAAGCAGTTCAATCTGCAAACAAACACAAGACAAGCAGTGCTACAGTTATCATAACGGTGTTGCAGCTCAGACGATCGGCGCTTAAAATGCGAGTGCGAGTGCGAAAGAAAAAAAAACTAAGCAAGCAGCGAAGTTTTTGTGTGCGGTAACTGGGCAGAGTGTCGCACTCTCTGGGCGCACGTTTCGTGGCGATAAGTGCGGGATGGTAGTTGGAGAGTTAAGCGGCGGAAGGTGATGTAAAGAGCATAATCATGGTCCGGGGTCCGGGGCTGACAAGGCAGGCACGTAGCGCCGTCCCAGCAACAGTCCGGGCAACTATCGGGCACTGGCTTTGGGTTGGATTGAGTTTGGGTTTGGGTTTGGCTTTGGCTTTGGCCATAAAAGGCATAAGCGCTGCCAGCATAGACATCAGTTCTCTCCCAAACACCATGTTCCACTCCAAGCTCCAGCTGTTGCTCAGCGCGACAAGTGTCCTCGTGGCCGTGGCCGTGGCCCAGGTCCAGGCCCAGTACGATCTCTATGGGGATCTGTCGTATGGCGGGGGCTCGGCGGAGACGCAGCTGGACTATGTGTTCACGGATAGCGACTACGATGCCATCTGTCCGCCCGGCGGCAGTCCCGTGTGCGCCACGGATGGCCGCCAGTACCAGCGCTTCTCCAGCAAGTGCCGCCTGGACTCGCACAACCTCAAGCTGCTCTTCGCCGGCAGTCCCGGTGAGTCCTGCACGTGCGGCTCTCAGCCCGAACCCATCTCACTCTCTCACTCTCTCTCTCTCTCTCAGAACTGACGCAAACGGAGCTCATCTACTGCTCCTCGTACGCTGCTCTTGCCCCGTCCCCCTACTATCTGCGTGGTGGTGCTCCTTCGCAGCCCGCCAGCCACTACTCGGGTGCCGGCTCGGGCTCCCAATCGTACGCCTATGCGGCGGCCCATGGCCCCTATGGCGCCAAGGCCAGCGCTGAGGCGCCCGGCCCGTACCTCATTCCTTCCCCTCCCCGTCCAGCGTACAAGCCCTATGGCGGTGCGTATTCTGCAACGACTGCGGCACCGGCTGGCGGCGCCACAACGACCAAGGCAGCCCCCAAATATCCCCCTAGGTATCCGCCCAGATATCCGCCCAAGTATCCCACTGTAGCCACAACTTCAGCGGCGCCAACGTCCGTCTCGACGGCGGCACCTACGGATTCCACCACTGCAGCATCCACAGAAGTAACCACAACCTCTGTTGCCACAGATGCAACCACAACCACGGAGTCAACCACGGGTTCAACCACCGATTCAACAACCGATTCAACCACGGACTCAACCACGGACTCAACTACCGATTCAACCACGGACTCAACCACCGATTCAAGCTCCTCTTCAACCTCTGCTGCCACCACGGAATCCACCACCGCTGCTCCATCCGTAAGTGTCAAAGTCTGACTCCACACTGACATTTTCCCGAAGCTTCCCTAACGCTTGCACCGCTTTCAGGGTGATATTGTGATAACGGAGGTCAATGGCGGAGTTACCACCACCACCACCGTGACGCCTGGCACCATCGACACCTGTCCCGATGCCTTTACCAGCCTGACCGTGCTCCTCAATGGAGTGACGACCACTTTGAGTGGCTGCAAGACTGTCACAACCAGCTGAGGAGTGCAGCAGAGCGCAGCAATCAAATTATAGATCCCAAAGTACCTTCAAATAATTCCAAATCCGATCCGATCCGATTCAATTTTTGTGTAATAAAACTATCTATCAACAGTAACAAAAACCCATAAACAAATCGGGAAAAACGGCAGCGGGAGAGTGCGTGCCAATTGAAAGGGAAATTCGGTTTGGTGGAGTTCCATCAACGCACATCTTCCCCCACATTTTCCAGCCTTCCTCCCCACACACCCAGAGAGCAGGTGTGTTCGCTCTGCCGCTGCTTTTTTTAAGCAGTTTGCTCGCTTTTGTGTCCGCTTATCTTTTCACAATAAAACGGCATTAAAAGCTTAGAGCAACAGCAACAAAAAATCAGGCAAAATGCGCGCAAACAATGGCAGCGGCGTCGGCAGCGGCGTCCTTTGTGTGTCCTACTAGAGCGTGTCCTACATGCCCGTTCCGAGCGGAAGCGGAAATTAACAAATGCCCCGGGCAACACTTTGCATCTGCAAACAGCAGTGACAACAAAAGCAAACAACAACAGCCACGCCCCCCCCTTGGGCACCGCCGCCAAAATAGCCATTTATATTCAAATTGTTTTAGCCCGGCTCCGATTTTTGGCCTACAGAAACATCCGGGGGTTTTTTTTCCCCTGGTTCTTTTATTGTTTGCTTTTTGTTGTTTCGCTTCAAGTGGAACAAAGTTTAATGTGGAAATCTGCTTAATTAAATAATAAACATTTAATTTGAGGTGCAATTTCGGGAAACATTCGGGAAAAAAAACCCAAAGGCCCACCAAAGGGCCGCACATTTTGAGTTCTCTTTGGGTGAATTTCGGTGAATTTATTAAAGGAATTGAGGCATGAATTCTGACTAAATTTTGGCTGGAGTTTCATCCATGCTCTGGCCATGTTTCAACGAGGATATGGATGATCCAACTGCTGCCGAAAGTGCCAACAATTCGGGAGTTATCTTCCCTATACAATATATATCCAAGAACTGGGCTCAAATTTCTCTGCTTGCCACGTTCTAGAATGCCAAAACTTTTGCATATTTGTTTTACATTTTGCTGATTTCGCCAAAAGAGTGGCCGAACAATTGAATGAACACTTTGTTCGTGCCCAGTCCGGTCTGGCGCGATTCTCTTGCACTTCTTCCCACTACCCCCGGCAATGCTGGTGTAAACAATGAATGGAGCGGGGCATAAAAAAGAGCAACAAGTGGAGCATGCTGAACGGTGCGATTTCGGGCAAGTTTTCTCCAAGAACTTTAACTACGCTGTCCATCTGTTGTTCTGCCTCTTGCTTACATAATTTATGAAATAAATAAATATTCTTTGTAGTGTTTGTTCAGTCCAGCATACCCCTTGTTGTTGCACCTTCTCGTAAACAGAATGCGAGACGCTGAAACGTGAAAGACAGCTGCAGCCCCGGGCGATAGCTGACACCAGATGGTAGATGGTAGATGGTAGATGGTCGTCGCAGTCAGATGCCAGTCTGTGGCTCAACTTTCTGAGCCAATTATTGACACGCTGTGGCAGCTCGAATAAATCAAAATCGAGGCTAAACCGCTGGCGAAGCTGAAAATGGACCCGGGAGCAGGAGCAGGAGCAGGAGCAGGAGCAGGACACGGGTCGCCCTGTCTGTCTTGAGTTACGCTGATTTTTAATAAATTTCAAGTGGAACAAGATTTGTGGCGGCTTAGATCTGTGCAAATATTTTGCCTGGGCGCCACGCCCACATAAATCAAATGCCCGAACACCGCCTGCGCCACTCGAGTGAGATTTGGGATGCCTTTGATTATTTTGAAGGCTTTTTTTGTTGCGGCCCCTACGCCTGTCCCTGTGGCTGTGTGGCCCGAATTGATATTTATGGCCGTGAAATCGGCTTATAACATTAGCCATTCCTCTCGACTACCCACTTGCCGCACTCCACGCACTTACTCGTATATTTATATTATTTTTTCTATATATATCCATTGGGATTGACTGTTTACCATTTATACCGCGAAATCCAAATCGCATTCAACGGACAAGAACAATGTGTTGTGTGGCGTTATTTTTATTTGGATTTATTCATGCTCGTTTCGCACCTGAACCTGAACTTGGCCGCGAAAGTGTTCCACGGCGAAGAGCTGCCTGAACGGAGGCCACAACGGGAAACGGGCAATCCAATTAGCCGTAGAGCAATCGAATAGTCGAATAATCGAATCGAATGATTAACTGCCTTCAATTTGAGTGGGCATTCGGGTTTCGGTGTCTGCACACACACAAATTATGTCAAATTAATTGCAAAAAGTCGAACGAGCCTCCATATTCATGAGTTTCAATTAGCGGGGAAACCTTATCACCTAAAGAGGCTTATTCATTGGCACAGGGAGGATCAGGTGGAAACTTAGCACAGTCTTTGGCCCTCTGCACTGCCCCAATGGACATGTTTACAAAGTCATAAAGACTGCACTTTATGAATCTCTTCGTTAGTTTTGCTCTATTGGGCTATATTGGGCGTATTTATTTTCTTAGTTTTCGTTTGGGTTTTTAATTCAAAAATGTTTGTTTTTCCAGCGCCATGATGTATGGGATGTGGACGTGTGATTATTATTTATAATAAGTTGAGGAGCAATAAGTAACAAAAAACTTGCTCTTGGCTCTCAATCAATTATCAGTGCTTATGGCCATGAATATGGCCATCAATTTGGAGTGCTTTCAGTGTGGGAATTATCATAAAAAATATTATAGAGCGAGAGCGAGAGCGAGAGTGGGTCCCGTAAACATGTTTGCAAAATTAATCAAACGTCTCGCTGACAGCTGAGGGAGCGTCGCTGGCAAAATAAATTAAAAATACATAAAGCGCTCAATTACGAATATTCTCTGTCTCTCTCTCTCTCTCTCTGTACATATATTTAATTCGTGCCGGCGACCAGCAAAGGACACTCGAACAGCACAAAGGAGAAGCATCAGCAATGGCAACACTGGCAGACCGACGGACCCCACAGTGTGGGAACATCGGAGGGTGCACCCAAATGGAATCCAATTTCCATGTAATTTTTGTGTGTGTGTGTGTGTTTTTTTTTTTCGGTTGCCCTCTTCCTATTTTCTGTTTCGTTGCTTTCCGAAATTTTGATGTTTTTTCTGCGGGTCGGGCATAAAAATTTAATATGCTCCCAAAAGTCGGATACAATAAAATGCGCAGCTCCATGTCAGCACGAACATGTTTTAGTGGCTGGTGGGACAAGTAACTTCAATTTGAATCATAAAGCCAGCCACGGCTCCTCCAAATTATGCCGTAAAAGTGGCGGAAAACAACAAGCAAACTACGACACTTGAGACACGATTTTGTGGCCGCCCCCCCGACAAAACAGAGGCACGGACAGTTGCCTCATTAGTTTCACGCACTTGGCGGACACTTGGAGTGAAGACAGCGGACAGCGGACAGCGGACAAGAGATAATAGAAAACTTTAAGAGCTGTTCCATGAAATGGCATGAGATTCCAGATTCTCCTAAAGATATTCAGCAAAGGGTTTCGGACATAAACTGTTAAACGGAAGGATCATAAAGAATATTTCCCGAAATTTAAGAGCTGCACAGGCTATAAATCAAGGAGCGTGTCTCTTCCACAATAAACATAATCCTCGACTAGGAGTAACTGAGCCTAAAGCCATATGTCAGTCTGTGTTTTAGTTCAAATTCGAAGGAAAAGCTGACGCTAGTTGAGCGTTGTGTTTAGGTAAATTCTAATTTGGCAAATGTACGAGAAGGATGAGTGAAATATTCTGGAGAAAGCCACTTTCAGCAACAGATTAAAGATAAACGGCAACACGTTTCGAGCTATGCTCTTTGGCTCTGGGGTTAAATTCGAAATGCCTGTCGGGGTGGAGGCGGAGACACCAAAGTTGGGTGCACTTTTTGGGGAGGGGCGGCGGAGAGCACAAGTGTAAGCCCTTTGATGAAGCGCTTGTCATCAATGTATTTGCGGTGGAACTGTCACATATCAGGGGGGGAGACTCTTTTACTGTCACTTGTCATGTACATATGTATCAAATATGTGATATATGTGGCCAAAGTTGCCTAAGGAGTGCCTAAAGACCACCGACTAATGAGCAATGTTGCTGTTCCAGCTGTCAGAAGAGCTGCCGAAATGACTGGCTTGTACGTGTATGCCCGCTGCCCCATAATGTGTGCCATGGGGTGGGAACAGTCGAAGCTTTCTTATAAATCAGCTGGCAATGGCATGTGCATAATTTATGGCCCGCTTTGGGGCGGAGTGGCTGCCGTTGCAGTTTCCTCACAGTCATTGTCTGGGCTGGGGCGTTGCCTTCCTTCTAACGTGTGTCTGGCTGTAGCTTTGCTGGCTGGCCTGTTCCTACGCTTACGCTGAATCCATACCACACGCCAGCAAAAGCCGGAGGCAGCTGCTAATTGAAACACAAACCGCAGTCTTAAATGAACAAACAACAGCAGCAGCAGTAAGCAGAAGTAAGCAGACGCAAGCAGGAGCGAGACAAGCAGTGGCCACAGAAGCAAGCAGTGGAGTTGCGGTAGTTGGTGCCGCGGGTATGCCACAAAGGGAAATGGTAAGCGCAGCAAAGGGAATGGCAGATGCCGCGGATGTGACAAATTCTGAGAATGTCCAAAATATATATATAATATATAAAAGCATAGAATATAAAAGAATACAACAACCATGATGCTGCTTATACGAAAGAAAGAACTGGCAAATGCCGCAAAGCGCAAAAAGGGAAAGGAAAACAGATTAATGTAAACATTTTTGAGAGACTGCAGAGCTTTGGGACAGCAGAGCTGACCAGATTGATAAATCCTCTCCTTTTAGATGGGTAAATACAGACATGCAGGGAAATACTTAAGGGCGGGCATTAAAAAAAAGGCACACGCTCGCATTTATGGGTTGCCTGAATAAATCATATCCAATGCATCGACGATTTGTGTACATTGAAGCCCAAAAAGTAAACACAAATTAAATGTGAGTCTGTGTGTCAGACGTCTGTGTGTGACAATCCGCATTTGGCATCGGATCCACTCGATGCCGCCTGGAGTGTTTGACAGCGAAGAGTCTCATCTCTCAGTCTCATCTCAGAACAAGCGAAATAACACGAAAAAAACACGCGACAGACGGCAAAGAAGGCAACATTGATTCAATGACGTTCGCAATTAAATATAAATCACTATTTACTGAAATCTGTTTACCTCAGATCCGGGGGGCCATGTGCATGTGTCCGCGTCTGCTTCCCGATTTACGATGCCTCCCGAATTTGGCGCGCCAAAACTAAAACTCACAAAAATAGCAAACGAGAAAGAGATGCGCTCGCATTGGCGACCGTGCGGTCCAGCAACCAGCTGGGAAGTGAAGCCCCCAGAAGGATGCCGGGGGCTCCTTTCCATATTGTCAGCATTGTCAGCTGTACACTGCTTTCCGTTATGTTCACTGCTTGTGAACTCTCAGCGTGTGGGAACTGCTTACTGCTTGCTGCTTGCGCCCATTGCAACAGAATACCGCAAAAGTTGACTGCTTTAAACGCAGTGCTTGCGCAGTGCTTCTAGAACTGTAAAAGTTCTCCTATTGCCAGCTCTGTTATTTGGTGGCGTGTGAAAATGAAAACTTCAAGCAGCTTTTCGAGCACTTCTTCTTGGGGCTTTGCACTGCTTCATTTCCGAAGCTCAAGAAAGCTCTCCGAAGCGGAACAAACAAAAAAAGAAACACAAGCAGTCACATTTTTGCTTTTGCTTTCCACAAAAAAAAGTATCTATAATCATGAACTCTTTTTTGCGTACGCAAATTTCCTGTTTTGATCTGTGTTGGGACGCACCTGGCTGTATCTGAGTGACTGACAGGGAAACCGAGACTGGAGACTGGAGAACCGGCGAATCGGAGACGAGACTTAGGCTTGTGGCGCTAAGTTTACAATTGAAAGCGCATTTTGGGCACGTATGTTTGCCGATAGCCGGCCGCTGTCTGCTGCCGTTGCTGCTGTGGCTGTAAAAAAAAGAAGATTCGGACCGAGTGGTAAAGAAGCTGGCGGTATAAATAGTCGGCGGAGTGTCGGTTGACCGCATCAGTGACAAACAGAACATTCACAATGATGTCTGCCATTGCCTTTGCCTGCTTTGCCTTGGTGCTTCCAGCTCTGACCCTCTCGCAGGGCTACTCGGTGGGTTACTTTCCGGGAAGGCATCAACAGTACGATCACCAGCCGACGGCCAGCCGGCAGTATGACTACGGACACTGCGGCGGCCGTGTGTGCGCCTCTAATGGGTATCGGTACGCCAGCTTCGCCAATATCTGCCGCCTAAACGACTACAATCTTAGACTTGTCTTTGCTGGCCATGCAGGTAAGTCCTTGAATGCCAAATCCTCCGCAAGTGAGTGAACATCTGTCCTTTCTTGCACAGAATTTGTCGAAGTGGACTCGATCTACTGCCAGCAACCCCCCAGAGATGTGGACTACTACTACAGACCGCAACCAGCACCAGAGACACACCGTCCAGGCTATTCGCCGCACGTTCCCTGCATTCCAATGACCCGGCCCCAAATCGGAGCCCAAGCCATCGCTCAGTCTGGGAATGCTTTTGCTTTCAGTGGATATTCTTCGCCAGCTTTGCCATACTGGCTTTTCAAGCCTCCCACCTCTCCTACCGGGCCCCTTTCTGACAGCAAAATCTATTCCTATCCGGCGCCCCACACGAGCAAGCGACCTGTGACCTACTACTACCCAACAACAACCACTAAAGCTCCCACTACGACCACTGAAGCTTCTACAACGAGTACCACCAATGATCCTTCAACAACCACCCTAGCTCCTACGACAAGTACAACTAATGATCCTTCAACGACAACAACTACCGAAGCTGCTACGACAACAACTACGGAAGCTCCTACGACGAGTACAACTAATGATCCCTCAAGTACCACTGCTGATCTTTCTACAACAACAACTACCGAAGCTTCGACAACAAGTACTACCAATGATCCTTCAACAACAACAACAACCGAAGCTTCTACAACAAGTACTACCAATGATCCTTCAACAACAACAACAAGTACCGAAGCTACCACGACGACTACCACCATTGTTCCTTCAACAACAACAACTGCAGAAGCTTCAACAACGAGTACAACTAATGATCCTTCAAAAACAACAACTACTGAAGCTCCTGCATCGAGTACCACGAACGACGCCTCAACAACAACAACTACCGAAGCTTCGACAACAAGTGCTACCAATAATCCTTCAACCACAACAACCACCGAAACTTCCACGACGACAACAGCTAATGATCTTTCAACAACAACTACCGAAGCTTCGACAACTAGTACCACCGATGATCCTTCAACAACAACAACTACAGAAGCTTCTACGACGACCACAACTAATGATCCTTCAACAACAACAACTGCAGATGTTTCCACGACGACCACAACTAATGATCCTTCAACAACAACAGCTGCAGATGTTTCCACGACGACCACAACTAATGATCCTTCAACAACAACAACTGCAGAAGCTCCTACGACGAGTACAGCTAGTAATCCTTCAGCAACAACAACACCAGAAGCTTCCACGACGTCTACCACCAATGAGCCCTCTACGACAACAACAACCGAAGCTCCTACGACGTCCACAACTAATGATCCTTCAACAACAACAACCACCGAAGCTTCTACGACGAGTACCACCACAGAACCCGACTCTGCCGTAAGTTCAGCGATACAGTTGACCCCAAAATATCCCGCAATTTAATGCAATTTATTCCATAGGTGGATCCAGTGATCATTCAGATTACAGGCCCCAACGGGAGAGTCCTGCGCTTGGTCCTCTCCGACCTGGCAGCTGCAGGAAGCACTTGCACTGAATCGTACACCCTGGACGTAACCAGGGGATCAACGGTGCTATTTCAGCTTACTGGTTGCGCGGATGCTGAGAGCACAACCACGGCTGGAGTCGCCAATGCACTTTTAAGCGCGTCAGCCACAACCCCCAGAACCAATCCCCCGGCCTACTTTATGTATCATACATCCACCAGAGTTATTCAAACCCGATGAAATTCACGAACAAACATACCCAACAATCTATAGCCGAACAATACATTTATTCTACACTTGCAAGCAAATAATGATTATGAATTTGTGAATTCCTGCTTTGGGCGTGTGTCACGTTTCCACAGAAGCCTGTGACACAGTGCGAAGGGTGAAAAAACACAGCTACTACATGAAACTGATTTAGTATCGTGTTAACGTGATATTTTGGCAATTAAAAAGCCAAGCACGTGAAGTGCAAGTTGGGAATGCATTTGCGTATCTACTTTGGTTGCAGTTCAAGTTCTCGAGCAGCTCCGAGATACGCTCCCCAGACAGCTGTTGAGTTTTGGCACTGCTTACTCATAATCCCAACTCACCACAGCGCATCTTTGCTCACCTCGCCCGCACCACTTAAGTGCTTGCATTGAAGTCGGTTTTGATTCACAGAAAAGTTCACACAAATTTTCACATGACTCAAGGCCACACCACAGCACCGATAACCCAACTGCAATTTCATAATGAATTAACCAGAAGAAGAATAGCCAACAAAGAGAGTGAGAGAGGCAGCGAGAGGGAAAGAGAATGAATGCTAGAAGAGCCATGAGCCAGCAGTCTGGCCATTGATATGCATAATGTAGCGCAATAATAATTATGAGTAGCTGCAAAGTTTAGCTCTATAATAGCCCCCAAATAGAGCCAGTGACACGTAGACATTGCAATGGTATGAGGGCATTGATGACGCTCTGCCCGATCGGGCTTCGGGCTTCGGGCTTCGGGGATGGTGCTTGTGGTGGCTGGTATAAAAGCTCAGGCTGGGCAAGGTCACAGCATAGTCAACAGTAAATCGTTCGCAAAATGACAACAGCCTTGAGTCGTTTCGGTCTGGGTCTGGGCCTGGGCCTGTGCCTGCTCGCCACCATCGCCCGTGGATGGGACTACGCGGCGCCCTACTCCGACTACGCGGCGCCCTACTACGCGGCACCCTATTACTTTGCCCCGCCGCGCTACGACATTACGCCCTGTCCACCCACCGGAGAGGAGAGTGTGGTCTGTGCCGTGGCCCCGGGCGCCCAGCCAGCGACCTTCCCCAGCCCCTGCGAAGTGGATCGCTTCAGCCGCCAGACGGGCGTTGCATGGCAGATCATCTACGAGGATAGGTGCGACGAGATGGAGGACTGTCCGGAGATCTGCAACGAGGAATACAGTCCAGTCTGCGCCACATTCCGCTCCTCCAGGCGCACCTTCAGGAACTACTGCGAGCTGCTGCTGGTCACCTGCCGAACAGACCATCGTAAGTACTCGGGCCCCTGAGGCTGGGAATTATAATCATTTGTGTCTTCCATGCAGGATGGAAGATGATGCATCCCGGCACTTGTGACAGCAGACTGCCGGGTCTGTACTCGCCACGCGCTCGGACCTATAATCCCTACGCCATGCACGCCATCCAGCCATCGTCGCCCTATTACGGATCCTACGGCTCCTATCGACCACAGAGATTGAGGAGGCCACAAACGTCGATTGTCTCCCCGCCACCGCCTTACAAGGCGGCAGCGTACGAGCCATACGAGATTTCATGGGACAACCTGCCCACCGAGTACGAAATGAAGCAGACCTCCACAAAGGCCTATGCAACGACTACCCAAGCGCCAGAGACAACCCAGGTTACCCAGGAAGCGGTAACCACTGAGGCGACAACCGGGTCTCCGACTGCCACACAAAGATCTGCGAGAGTTTTAAGCGTAAATGCCGTGGCCATAGACAATGAAACGACTCCGGAGACTACAGAAACATCAACGGAAACCAGTTCCACAGCCACCCCGACACGGTATCAGCCATATCCATATTACAGTCCGACCTCCACAACAGAAGGAGCATCCACCACTGTCAAGCCCCAGGGACGGTCTATAAATATCAATGCCCTTGCAATAGAGAATGAATCGTCAGCAGAGCCCACCTCTACAGCATCCTCAACGACCCAAGAGACATATCCAGCCTATCCCATCTACAACACTACTGCAACTCCAGAGCACGCTACAACAACTGCAAGACCTTCGACACAATCTACCCCGACTGCTACTGAGACAACAGAGGAAGCCTCCACAACGGTCAAGACTGCTTTGAAATCCCTAAGCGTAAATGCTGTGGCAGAGACTGAAGATGTTACCGGAACCACAGAGAATACAACAACGGCAGAAAGCTCGACAGCTGCACCTTCAACATATGAGGCTTATCCATCCTATTCAGCCTCCAAGTCCTACACCGACTCTTCAGCATATCCCTCCTATAGCCCCACAGCTACTGAGACCACAGAAGAGGCATCCACTACTGGCAAGACAGCACTCAAATCTCTAAGTGTAAATGCAGTGGCTCAAACTGAAGAGGATGTTGCAGAGACCACCCCGGATCCAACAACTGAAGCCAGCTCTACAAAGGCACCTTCTAGCTATCAGACTTATCCATCCTATTCGCCTTCTCCATTATATCCATCATATCCATCCTATTCACCTTCCTATAGCCCGACTGTTACCACAGAAGAGGCATCCACAACTGTCAAGACAGCTTTGAAATCCCTAAGCGTGAATGCTGTGGCAGAGACTGAAGAGGATGTTGCAGAAACCACACCGAATCCAACAACGGAAGAAAGCTCGACTGTTTCGCCTTCCACATATGAGACTTATCCGTCCTACTCGGCTTCTAAGTCATATACCGACTCTTCAGCTTATCCCTCCTATAGCCCGACTGTTACCACAGAAGAGGCATCCACTACTGTCAAGACAGCTTTGAATTCTCTACGCGTGAATGCTGTGGCAGAGACTGAAGAGGATGTTGCAGAAACTACTCCGAATCAAACTACGGAAGAAAACTCTACAGCTGCACCTTCAACCTATGAGACTTATCCGTCCTATTCAGCCTCCAAGTCCTATACCGACTCTTCAGCTTATCCCTCTTATAGCCCGACTGCTACTGAGACAACAGAGGAAGCCTCCACTACTGTCAAGACAGCTTTGAATTCTCTACGCGTGAATGCTGTGGCAGAGACTGAAGAGGATGTTGCAGAAACTACTCCGAATCAAACTACGGAAGAAAACTCTACAGCTGCACCTTCAACCTATGAGACTTATCCGTCCTATTCAGCCTCCAAGTCCTATACCGACTCTTCAGCTTATCCCTCTTATAGCCCGACTGGTACTGAGACAACAGAGGAAGCCTCCACGACTGTCAAGACAGTTCTCAAATCTCTAAGCGTGAATGCTGTGGCAGAGACTGAAGAGGATGTTGCAGAAACCACACCGAATCCAACAACGGAAGAAAGTTCGACTGTTGCGCCTTCCACATATGAGACTTATCCGTCCTACTCGGCCTCTAAGTCATATACCGACTCTTCAGCTTATCCCTCCTATAGCCCGACTGTTACCACAGAAGAGGCATCCACTACTGTCAAGACAGCTTTGAATTCTCTACGCGTGAATGCTGTGGCAGAGACTGAAGAGGATGTTGCAGAAACTACTCCGAATCAAACTACGGAAGAAAACTCTACAGCTGCACCTTCAACCTATGAGACTTATCCGTCCTATTCAGCCTCCAAGTCCTATACCGACTCTTCAGCTTATCCCTCTTATAGCCCGACTGCTACTGAAACAACAGAGGAAGCCTCCACGACTGTCAAGACAGTTCTCAAATCTCTAAGCGTGAATGCTGTGGCAGAGACTGAAGAGGATGTTGCAGTGACGGAAGCCACATCTGTGGAGCCCAGCTCCACTGTTTCTACGCCAAAGAACCAGTCCTATCCATCTTATACAGCTACTCCAAGTAACAGAACTACCGATGCTCCGAAGACAACCGATGCCTCAGTGTTTAGGGTAAATGCGGTGGATGTAGATGATGGCCAGAACCCTTCGGCGGCAACGGGGCTGTCAGTGTCATCAGGAAAGGCTCCGAATAATACCATCGTGGATTATGTGTCTGGAAAAGATGGCGAAAACAAGCAGCACATTCGGGTGTTCAACACTGGGAGCCAAGGCAATGTGATTATATTTAACATAAATAACAACTAATCGAGTGCTTTGAATAGCCTCAAAGAACTGAATTAGATAATCCGTTTTATTAGTTTATTGATTATACATTTTGTAACAACAATAATACATTTGTCGTCGTGTTCCCTAACCAAAGTGCTATTCTATATAAGATCTGTTGGGGGTTTAACTCTTCCACCGAGTGTTGTTGTTATCAAATTATGTCTTTGATAATATTAGTGGGAGCACCGGGAGCTAATAATTAAAGTTAGGATAGAAGAATCCATTTGTTGCGTTCTCGGTCGGAGTCAGGGAGTTGCTCCTGTGGCCATTGGGGCATGTTGAGGAACTCTTGCTCTATGTAGGTCAGGTACGGCGAGTGCCATTGGATGGAGGAGGGAGGGCCCTTCTCGCGGATATCTGAGGATATATGGCCGACAAATCGTATGGCGTCTGACGGGTGCAACGAAGCACTGAGTTGTTCAGCGACATGCACAATCAAATAATCAACGGGCCGATTGTTGAAGTACAGAACGCAAGCCAATTCCAGTAATTTCTCGAGCAACTGCTCTTCATACATGATTTCCATATTATTGAGATGGATATTCCACTTCAGTTCCCTTAACATATTGGCACGATGAAGCAGATGGCGGCGCCTGCGCCATGTGAGGGTCCACATATCGTTGGAGTCTGTCAGTCCATACTCTTCATCTTTCAGATTTGCAGCGTAATATGTGTGGCAAGTGAACAATTCCTCGATATAACACTTGTCCATATTCACGACAGCCAAGCACCGGAAGTGTACAGAGGCAGAGGCCGACGATGTTGCTACACCAGCGAGTAGCATCAAAAGAAATCCAAAGACGAAAGCGTGCTAGGGGGGCCAAGACATAAGCAGATTGTTTACAGCAGATACTCAAAGTTCGTAATGCTCACCATTTTGATATATTTTTGAATCGTCAGGTTTGTTGGAACTCGCTGCGAAAATTGTGTTGGGAAGTTGTTACGTTCCGTGTGATGCTGAAAATATCTTTACTTCGGAATGATATCTAGGCAGTGTTGAGGTTATTTCCAGCGCATGCTATGCCACTGAATAGCATAAATGAAAATGTTTGTCATTCAATGACATTTACAGCACGTGGCAACTCTTTCAGGGTTTTCAGCGTTTTCAGGGTTTCAGGGTTGCTATAGATCGAACTTCCGATCCAATTTCCGTTTGCTGACAGCCGAATTGAATGCAAGCAAATGATTTTTTTGAGCAATTCTTATTCTTATTCCAAATAAATATTAAATGTAAAAGTCAATCAGTTTTCTCAGCTCTCAAAGTGGCTCTGTTCTATCCATTGCAGATATATCGGTGGTTGAGTCGTCACCCGGGCTAGCGGCAGTCTCTGTGGTTGCAGCTGGGCTGCTGCTTTCGGTACTCATCCATGGCAACTCTGTGGATGTGGAGGTGGTGGTGCTGCTGCTGCTGCTGCTGCTGCTGCTGCTGCTCGTCCAGACCATTGGGGCAGCTGTCGTAGTGCTGATTATTGGAATTTGCATGGGCTTTAGAGTTCCTGTCTTTGGTGTTGTGGTCGTCGTTGTGGTAGTGGGATATGCATCGGTCACACGGCCCACGCCGGGCACAAACATTGAGAGCGTCGAGTCGGTGATCTCGCCATAGTCGTGTCCCACATCGTCTATGTTGTAGACACTGTAGGCATCCATGGCTCGCGATACGGACACCATCTGATTTCCGGAGCTCACCATCTGACGGAATCGAAGTGGAGATGCCGTGCTGCTGCCGATCGGCATCATCTGTGGCGTCTCCGTCGTCGTCGTGGTCGTCGTGGTGCTTGTCCTTGACGATGGCTCGGACAGCATTACATACACTTTGGGACGACCTGTGCTGCCTGTTGCGTGTGCGGGTGCGGGTGTGGATGCGGTAGCGGCTGATGGCCGCTTGCCCTTGTTGCGGCGCGACTTCTTCTTGCGCCTGCCCTTGGTTGCGGGTGCAGGGCAGGGTCCGGCGTGCAGGATACGCATTGCTATGGATGGCACATGGGTGAAACATTAGTCTAAGTCTTTGATATCTTTTGCTGCCACCCACCTTGTCTGCTCTGGCACTCGTGCTGTCGCACCTCGCACTCGTTGGGGAAAGTTGTGGGTGCTCCCATCTCGGCCACGGCACAGACGGGCCGCTGGACCTTCGTGCACTTCATGCTCCTGCATGTGGGCTGGCATCGCTCCAGCTCCGTGGGCTCCAGCTCTGTGCCGTACTGGAACAGCATCTTCATGTTGTGCGCCTCCAAGCGGCAGTCGTTCTCGAAGTAGAAGTGATCCGTGCCATTCGTGGCGCAGACGGGCACACCGCCCGAAGCGCACTGCGGCTGGTAGTCGACATACTGGATCTGAAGCGAACCCACACCACCCTCACCCGCTCTCGCACCCTTCCCTGTGGGATCCTGGTCGTGGCCAATGCCGGAATCCGCCAATATCTTCGCATACTGGGCACTGGAGTAGTGCAGATCATTAAAGCGCCAGTTGGCAAGTGAAAAGGGCCTGCTCGCCGCCACAGCCTTGAGGTTTAGGGCCAGCAGCAGGATGCCCAAGGCCATAATTCGATGAAAGGCTTCACGCTGCTGATGTTGCTGCATCTCGGATCGATCGACTGTGCACTTTCTCTGACGCTTCAATGGCTTTATAGCAGAGCTCCCGAGCAGCGCAGTCGGCACGCGCAGAGCGTAAAAGCTTCGTGTGGCTTCGGCGGCCTATGCGCTGAGAAGCGTCGCAGCGGCAGAGAAACAACTTCGTGTGGCTCCATTCACAATTGCTCGTCCGCGCGCAGCGGCAGAGAAGCACGAAACGTTTTTTGGCTTCGTGTCTGTTTGTCTGTGCAAAGCTCTGCTCTAAAGCTCTCGCGGCTATCGGCTATCGGCCACGTGCTTCTGCATTTTTTTCTGCATTTTTCCACCGTCGCCGCACGTATCGCAGCTGAGGTGCATTTTTGCTGCGGCCGCTGCCTCCACCCACGCGGCCAGCGATAAGAGACCACAGGTGGGGGCAGCAGCTCTCATCTCAACGAGCACTTTCTTCTCAATGTATGCATAATCTTCCAATAATCTGTGGAGCGCTGACTCTTATACATATGTAACTGCTCGAAATCACTTAGCTTATCTCCTCGAGAACATGCTCGAACTTGTTGCTGCGACTGCTGCCTAAAAGCCTAACTTTGGTTCTGAAAATAGGTCAAGGACCTAAGGAAATCCCTAGAAAGCCTTCACGACTCCAAAGCCCTGAGCTTGAAGCTTGATCCTGTCAGCTTTATTGAACTTTGAAGCTGTTCATGTCACCGATGAAGGGCGCTGGAAAGCTACTCTGTGGTGAGAAGCTGCCCATTTATGGTTTTTCCATTATTTGTATTCCTTCAACGCTGCAATAATTATGGATTCGCTTGCTTTTTATCAATATTCGAGCACAAGTACAAGTGTACACAAAAGTATTTTACACTATTTTATCCCTGCCAATCAGTCGGGATGAGAAAACCAACAACTTCCGACAGGTTGTATCACATTTATAATTGAGTCAGCTGCAATTTAGTTTGCTTTAAGTTTGAGTCTAGCCAATTCTGCTCATGGATATTTGCACATTCCCGCAAATGTTTAACTAATTTCAATCACTTGTCTTGCGGCTCTTGAGGCCTGTGGCCACAGGCATAATGAACGTGTCAGGCAGGAGGGAAGGTGGGAAGGGCAGTCTTTTGTTTAAACTTAAGGTCTTATTGAGGCTGGGTAGCCAACTGCGGCCCAGGCAATTGATTGAAGTCTTCCAACTCAATTATTTCATTTATATGTATGCTTATTATCAAAAATGAATGCTGAAAGAGTGAAATATGAATGGAATGAATAAATTCCATGCATTCCAAATGCATCATAAGCTGACAATTATGACAAACAGCAGAGGCAGAGGGATTGATGTCCTCGCCATCGATGGCTTCATCGTTCAGGAGTCGCAAAGGATAGCCGAGAGGAGCCGCCAGCTAGGCTTTCCCCATTTCACTCGCTTTTCACTGTCTTTTCTGTATTGAAAGCCCACACAAATGCGGTGCGCGCAGAACACGAATTTTAAAGCCATTCCACACATACTTTATGGCACATGTATGTACATATGTTTATGTGTCTAGTATATAGTGGGTAATGTTCATTGTTCATTGTTCGTCGCTTGTCGCTTGTCGCTTGTCGCTTTCTGTGGTCTTCCTTTGCCGTTAGCCTGAAAACCGCACATCATATTAATAATCATGTCCTTGGCGCACAACAGACGGCATTGTTTGAACAACCCCCAAAAGGAAAAGCAGGTAATCGATCATCATTGCGGTTGGCACCCACCCACCAGCAGCACACCCCCTTCCGCGACTCACCACCCCGCAGCAGCAGCAGCAGCAGCAGCAGCAATTGGTTTGAATTATTTAAATATTGATTTATTAGTGGAAAATTTAACATCTAATTTAGCAGGGGAGAAGTTTATTATTATCCCGAGCCCCTTAGATTGGAAATTAAATGCAAATCCATCTCCGGTTTCCGTCCTGGAACCTTCTGTGCCAACCCGTTTTGGTTCATATTTTAGCCTCAGTTCCAGCACCAGGACTTTGCGAGACTGCAAAGATCAGCGTTAATGGACATCTAATGACCATATCAAACGATTCATTGCTGGCAAAAATATCCATTCAGGTACTTCCATTGCCACATAAATTGCATAAATATCAACAAAATCGGATGACTATCTGTAGCTGCCCTGGAAGCTGGCTTTTATTTCTTTTTTTGTTTTTTTTTTTGCTGCTGTTTATCATTGCTGTTGATGTTGTGAAGGAAAGCAGGATAATGCACATATGTACATAACATATTTATAAACTGTATCTATATTTTCTGTGTGTGTGTGTGTGTGTGTGTGTGTGTTGTGTGCTGTTTGTTTTGTTCTGTGTGAGTGAGGCCGTTACTCAAAGCAAAATTGTTCACTCGATGTCCAGCCTGCTCAGGGCCAACCTGGGGGGCGGCTTTACTTTAACACGCCCACACACACACAGACACACTCTGGGAAAGAGGTGTGGGTGTGGGTGTGGGGGGTGGTGAGGAAAGGACACACATGTGGAGGATGTCACATTCAAAGTTTATCCAGCGCCCGTTTTGCACATTAATTTACTGACCTTTTTGCACTTTTTCCATAGTTTTGCAACCGCACCTCTGCTGCTGCTGCTGCTGTTGCTACTGTTGGATGTGGGCGTGGGCAGTGGTGGGCGTACTCGTCCAGCTTCCAACAGTGGCAAGGACAGAGACCAACTTTGACCCGATGCTGGAGCTCAACTCTGCTCTGCTTCTGTCTCTATGTGGACACAACAATATGCGGCTTGCCATGGCCAATGCGCGAGATTTTCCCTGCTCCCAGTCCCAGTCCCAGTCCCTGATAGCATTTTTGCTCTACCATTTCCTGTCCCTGGACCTGAACCTCGTCCACACTCAGAGGTAGACCCAGCCCTGACCACTGGCTGGCTGGCTGGCTGGCTGGCTGGCTGGGAGCAGGTCTGGTCCATATCCACTCACCATATAACGTATGATGAATGTGTGACATTTTTGCAGCTTGTTTGTTTACTTATTGTTTGTTCTGTGTGCCTTACCCACTTTTCCTTTGAGAGCGACTGCCAGCCTGCCAGCCCCAAGAGAGAGTAAAAATGAATGCGGAAAAGCAAACAGGAAAGAGTAAGCCAACGAATAAGCAGATGCTCTTTCCCATTGCCGGGAACTTTCTTTCTTTCCTTATTTGATTTGATTAAATGCGAATTAATGTGAAACCGACTTTTTGCCAAGGTGTTTTGTTGCGCGACTTCTTTTTAATTTGTTTTGCCAGACGACACTCGGAAAATGCATAAGTACTCGCTGAATGGAGAACCAACAACCAAGCTCTGCCCAAGGTGTTTTCCATCATTTTCATTAGCTGTTGCCTTCTGGGTGAGTGATTTTTGCACAGTGTATTCGGCGCTTATTCGGTGTGCACGTCCACGTCCATGGGAGGGCGGCGTGCCGCCATATCTTCGACCTTTTTCAGTATTGTTTTCCATTGAGTGTTGTGCCCAGGTCCAAGGGGAGTTTATGGGGAGCATTTTTGATGTTTTTTCTAATTTTTTCACACTTTTCGTTTAATTAATTTTGAAGTCCATTTCATTTGCTTTGTTCTGACAGCAACTCGGCGACCTTTGAGTCTGCTCTAACTTCATTGTGCTGAAGGAGGCACGGTGGCACCTGCAACACGATTAACCCGTCTGCCTCGAAAGGGTATGGGAAAACTTTTGTTTGTTTGTGCGTCGCCCATTTTTAGCTACCGCCACCTTGTCTGTGCCGCCGTTCTCTATCGTTGTTTGCACCAAGCCATGCATAAGTGTATGTATATGGGTGTGTGTGTGTGTGAAGAGAGTTTAATAAATTGTATGCTCGGGTCCACACATATGTACTTACATGTATGCAGATTACTTTCTACGAACGTGTGCGCTGAGAGTTTGGCAAAAAGGGCCGGACTCTCTGCTCTGTTCATTTTCAATAACGGCAAAGCAATAAACTTGGCCCGAAAATAGCCTCGCTTTTTGTTGACATTCGAAAACTTTGCCACATGTGAAACTGTGCGGCCCTGGCAACCCCGGCTCCCTGGCCGAGGGCAGCTTTCATATGTACATATGTCTCTGTGTGCATGTAGATATTTTGGATGAGCAGCAACTTCTTCAATGGGAAAGCTACCACCATTCCATATTTCAGGATGTTCATGCCTTTGTGGTGGAATTAAGCTCATACTTACCGACAGAACTTAAACAAGAATTTAATGTTTTAAATAATTCCTTACTTAGTGCACTAGTGCCCCAATGTTGTTTGTGGCTTTCGTCAGTTGTCAGCTTTTAATTGAAGCGCCGCCGGGAAAAGTGCTAGCAAAGAGAAAACAGAACTTTTAATTGATTGGAATGTGGAAACAGAAATATATATATGTACACTTGCCAACAGATTTTCTGCCTGTCGATGTGATTGTCGCGTTTGCCAGCTCGATATTTAGTAGTAAAATGTTTATATTACAGCCAAGCGTCAATTTTTACTTCTTATCGTTCGCTACTTGCACTGCTCACCGTACATATGTACATACGTACGTGCATACATATCTATGTACATATGTAAAGCATATGCTTCAGCGCTGCAGCGGGCGCTCTTTCGTCTATCTATCCCACCTTCTTCGTTCTGGCACTCGCGCTCTCGCTCTCGCCAACGTTCGTGCTCCACTTGGCAGCAGACTCGAGCTGCTCCAACGCTCTCTTTGCATCTCCTGTCTCGCTTGCCATGCCTTTGGCAGGTAGCAGAAGCGAGCGAGAGAGCGCCACTGAAAGAGAGTCTTGCGCTGATCTTCATTCAACCCCAAAATCGCGCCGCGCATTTCGCTAGCTTACAATAAATACATTGTACAGTAAATAGAACCGTTGGAGTAGAGATTCATGAGCTCCGCTTTAGTCGCTGCCAATCCATCAAGTGCAGCGTTTGTGTGTTTTTGTATTCATTTGCGTAGCAAATGCAAGTCAAAGCAAGTTTCTAATGGTCTTCTAATGAAAACTTCATCGTTTTGTCAAACTCAAGACTCAGACTAAGCAATTTGCATAGGGCAA